CCTTTTTTGGAAGGAAAAAGACCATTTTATACGTAGATTGGCTGAAATAGCTCTTTTTCTTGAAGATGCATTTGTGCAAGGTTTCCTTGGCATTCGTCTAAGCCCTGAAAGTAAGGATGTGTCTAGTTTGCCTTATTTTAGTACCAAAATAGGGCCTAAAACATTATCCATGCTGTGCTAACAATATGGCCGAGAAAACAAAATGTAGTTTTCCATAAAATTATGTTCTGAATGTATGCAAGAGATGCCATCCTGGTCCAAATGTTTAAATTCAACAGTAAAGTTGTCCCTAACTCTTAGCTATTTAATTTACAAGTTCTTTTTAGTCTCTAACATCCTTCAGATATTGATTTTTGATCTTTTTAAGCATCGCTACCACATCCATCATATTTCTCCTCATTTTGGGTGCTTCTGCACAACAATTCAAAGCTACTTCTAGAACAGATGATACACAATTTGCTTTGGCAATGAAATGCTCCTCCTCCTCCATCAAAGTGGCATCCACTACTTCAGTTGCTGAATGAGATAATGATTCATTCACCCACGCCTTTAAGCTCATTTCTCCCGCAAACATTTTATCTGTTGGTTTCTTTTTTGTGAACGTCTCCAAGACTAAGATGCCATAGCTGTAAACATCCCCTTTTGCAGAAACCATTCCCAAAGATCCATACTCTGTATCAAATTATAATAGACACAATTAATTTTATGTTTTGCATATGTAAATTGAATCGTAAACAAGTAAAAAGAAAGGGAAAAAATGAATTATAACCTGGTGCCATGTAGCCTATAGTCGCAATTCGCATTGTTTGCATCACAGATGCCCCTTCTCCTAGAAGCTTGGCTAAGCCAAAATCCCCCACACGTGCAACCATATCTTCGTCAAGCAGCACATTGCTAGGTTTCAAATCACAATGGATGATTGGAACTGAATGTCCATGGTGGAGATATTCTAGAGCACAAGCCACATCAATCATTAAATTCAATCTTTGTAGGATATTTAGACGATTTTCATCAGAATATAACCACTTCTCTAAGGTCCCATTAGGCATGAACTCGAGCACCAAGGCTTTGAAGTCTTCACTACAACAGCTGCTAATAATTTTGATCAAATTTCGATGGCGAATACTGCGTAGTACTTCACATTCTGTGTCAAAACTCTCACGTACACCCTCTACTTGTAGATTAAAGACCTTTATTGCAATGTTTATTCCATTTGGAAGTGTCCCATTGTATACTGACCCAAAACCCCCTGTGCCAAGTAAGTTTCCTTCATGGAATTTGTCAGTTGCATGTTGAAGCTCCAGATATGAAATTCTCTTCCAATTTGCTAGACTTGGAAAAATTTCTTCATCTGTGTGTTTTGCTTTTGATTTATATCGTCTTTTGAAGGTGATGATGATGGCAAGGGAAAGTATCAATATGGTAGCTGCTACAATTGGTAACACTAACCTTAGCACATGTATGGATTTTTTGTGGGACTTGGACTTACATGGAGCCACTTGAAATCTTGGCAAACCACAAAGGGCGGCGTTTCCCATAAATGATTGGGCAGAGAAGTTTCTGAATGATCCTCCACTTGGAATTTCTCCTTCAAGTCTATTGAAAGATACATTGAAGAATTTGAGAGAAGAGAGTCCTTCTAAAGACTTGGGAATCACTCCAGAAAGAATGTTATTAGAAAGATCCAAGAAGACCAAGCTTACCAACCCATCAAATGACTGAGGAATGTTACCTTCAAATACATTTTCTGCTAAGGAAAGATAAGTTAGATCTTTGAGATCCCCAATGCTAGTAGGCAAATTGCCTAGTAGCTGATTTCTAGATAAATCCATGCTAATCAAGACCTTCAAGTTTCCAAAATCTAATGGGAGAGCACCATTGAAGGCATTTGAGGACAAGCTTACTTCTAAGATATATTTAAGGCTCCAAAAGGTTAAAGGTATGGTTGAACTTAATTTGTTGGAATCTAAGTATAGGGCTCTTAAAGAACTTACATTAGCTAAGCACTCTGGCAAGGTTCCATTGAGTTGGTTATCGCTCAGTATCAAGTTACTCAATGCCTTCAAATGACAAAGACCATATGGGATTGCTCCTTGCAATTTGTTGCTATAAAAATAAAAACCTTGGAGTTGTTTTAATCCTCCAATTGTTGCTGGAATTGGTCCAATCAAATCATTTCTTCCAAGCCTTAGATCAATCAAGTTGCTCATGTTGCCAATTGCTAAGGGAATATTTCCTTGGATTTTGCAATTCTCTGCGTAGAGATATTTAAGGGATGTGGATAGATTCCCAAATGAATTTGGAAGGACGCAATTCAAGGGATTAGACTCTATGCCTATACGTGTTAGAGATCTACTAATTGTCAGAGATGAGAGAAAGCTTTTTTCAGGATTGGAGAATTTAGAGGACATGTTGTTTCCTTGAAGGTGAAGACATTCAAGGAATCTTAGATGACCAAGTGAATTAGGGAGAGGGCCAGTGAATGAGTTTTGGCTAAGTTGTAGGATGGTTAGCAAGGAAGAATTAGAGATAGAAGTTGGGAGAATACCAGTGAGTTTATTTTCATTCAGTTCTAGCCTAGTAAGCCTTGGAAGGCCAAGTCCAAACGTTGAGGGAAGTTGGCCTGAAAGGTTATTCCGTTGTAAGCCAATAATCTCCAAGGTTGAAATGTTGAAGATCATGGGATGAATGCAACCTGACAAAAGGTTGTCTCCCAAATCTAAAAAGCTCAGGGGTAAGTTCCCAACCTCCTTTGGTATTTCACCTGCAAAATTGTTGGAATAAGTTGACGAGCTTTTTTACTATATACATGGTGCATAGGAATCTTGATTTCATGGAATCTCTATTAAAAAATAATTTATTTATGTAGATCATGCCATCAATTTTCAAGTCAATATATCTAACATCTACAATCATTTAATCAAAAATTGTATTTTCGAACATATATTTAATAGTGTTACATTTTGTATAATCAATGAATTAATTAAAAATATTCAATCAACTTGAAAATTAATATACATGATCTATATGAATAAAATATTAAATCAAATTGTTGATTTTTCAAAATATTTATTGGAGATGATATTTTTGAATTGAGATTTTCTATAAAGTTAGTACTAATATACACTATATGTTATATATATATTATTTATTTGAATTGATTTTTTTGAAAAATGTTTGATATATTTGAATTGATATTTTTGAAAAGTGTTAGTAAAATTTCTAAAAAATAGGAGAAAAAAAATCCCAAAACTACGCATTGAAATAACTAAAATAACTCATTTTTAAATCATGATTGAGTTTATTTTGGTATTTTCTTATAGTATTTTAATGAAATAACATAATTTTGATGTATATTTTCTTTTAATTTTTTCGATATTTGAACTGACA